AAAATGTATTCTTTTCGTATGCGTCTAATTCTTACTCAATTATTTATTTTTTTATGTTAATTATCAAAATATTTTTTTAAATAATAATAATAATGTTGAAAATAATCTATTTTTCAATGGATATTGATTTTATAATTGAGATTTCAAGGGACCAAACCTGTCCCATTGCTGATCTAACTACCCTCATGTAAGAAGATTTGTCCTAATTTATGCTTTTTCAAAAAATCATTAGTAATTATCAATAAAGTTTAAAATCATTAATAAAGTTCACTAACATTACAAGGAACCAAATAATGTCACCTTGAAAATTTTATTTAGAAAACAAAGAAATCAAAACATGTTTTTGCAAAAAGCGTATCAAACCTTTTAAGTTACTCTTTTTTACAGAATTTATATCTTTTTCTTGAAGATGTTAAAATCTGATGTTTCCTAAAAATATACAGTTTTGCTGATATTTTCTATATTTTCTTATAAAATTATATAATAGTTGAGACCGTGATTTTTTTATAAAGAAAAGGTTGTGAAAAAAACATATTTTCCCTCACTGTGAAAGAAAAAAACTAGGTAAAAACTACCAGAAAACGGTTAAATTTACCGAAGCGCATTGGTAAGGATTTTGGTAAAATTAATAATAAACTATGGTTTTATATATGATGAAATTCGGTAAATGTGGTGGAATTTGGTAATTATGACGGTAGATACCTTAGAGGATGGTCATTAATTTGGTTAAATTTACTTTTCAGTTTTGTATTCCTTACTGAATTTGTGATAATAAGAATTTTGAAACCTAGATTTCCGGTAAACGTTACCATGTGAACGGAAAAACTATTAGACAAATGGTTTATATACTGCATGAACAGAATTAGGTTTTTCTTCGTACCTGAATTGTCATTACCATACAGTACGGTAATTTTACCTTTTTTTTCGTTCTCCGCGTATTATAATGGAGATATGAATCGTATTGTTTGATTGTTTTTTATTCAATAATTTGTGATAATAAGAGCTTTGAAACCTAGATTTCCGGTAAACGTTACCATATGAACGGAAAAACTATTAGATAAATGGTTTATATACTACATGAACAGAATTAGGTTTTTCTTCGTACCTGAAATGTCATTACCATACAGTACGATAATTTTACCTTTTTTTTTTCGTTCTCCGCGTATTATAATGGAGATATGAATCGTATTGTTTGATTGTTTTTTGTTCAATAATTTGTGATAATAAGAGTTTTGAAACCTAGATTTCCGGTAAACGTTACCATATGAACGGAAAAACTATTAGACAAATGGTTTATATACTGCATGAATAGAATTAGGTTTTTCTTCGTACCTGAATTGTCATTACCATACAGTACGGTAATTTTACCTTTTTTTTTTTTTCGTTCTCTGCGTATTATAATGGAGAAATGAATCGTATTGTTTGATTGTTTTTTGATGCGTCCGATACAGGAAGTAAATTATAGTCTAAGAATGAATAATTATGGTGTTTCAAATTGCATTCCAAGCAATATTTTCTGGTCTACTTGGTCCACGTGTTGGAGAGAGTGACCAAAGGAAAACAAAATAATTATTAGGTGCAATTTTGATGCCTTAAACAGAAATTAGCACGAATATCATGTTTATTTTCACGTGACTCATATTGTTATTGTGCTCTGAAGTCAGATAAGTGAGTGTGGGAAATGCTGTGCTAATTATGATGATAAAAGTGCTAATTAGGATCGAGAACAAATTTAAACCTTCCGCTCATTGTTTTGTTTCAGCGTGTTGATGTTTAAATAAGTAAGTTGAAATTTGAAACTGCAGTTTGTTTTCCCCAGCTTGTTTAATTCTCTTTTCAAGGGAAAGTTTGCAAGACATTTTAGAGTTTGTATAATTATAATTTGGTTAGTATATTAAAGTATTGTTTTAAATAAATTTAAACTTTTAAATCAGAACCTATATTAAATATTGAAATAAATTGTTTGAAAAATGTAGAGTCATGCAAGTTTTGTGTGAGAAATTAAAATAACTATTTATTATAATTTTATAATAACTATTAACTACTTAATTAACTATTTATAATAACTATTTTGGAATTTTTCCCTTGATAAAAAATTTGGAATGGTTAACTATGAATTTACTAAAGCATATGCTTATAAGATCTTCCAAAAATTTATGGTTGCAGTCTACGTGCGTAAATAATTATTAACGTATTATAATTGTTAAGATAAATTGTGAAGCAAAGAGAATGAAACAAAATAATCGTAATGCCTGGATCAAAATACAGCACATCATGATTGAAAAAAAAAATTAAATCCATTTCAGTAGCAATTCAACACACCAAATTTATGGAACAATTTAAAATTTGATGAAAAAAATGGTTTCTCTACCGTGTCTTTCAATAACATAAAAAGATAATGGTGTGGAACACATTGTTGTCCGTGCACTTTTATTGGATAGAAAAATCATAAGATAGGGCCCTTAATGAACAAAGGATATAAGGAAATCTTTTACAGACAAAAACATAATATTGGAATAAAAATGGTACCCTCCAGTGAATTACTTATTTATATCTTATTTATCGCATAATTCTTTGTAAAATTGCTTTTCGATATTGATAGTTTTTAAAAATTAAAGTCTTGAAACTAAAATTTTTATTCTTTAATAAATTAATCGTATGGATATTAATTTTTGTGTAACATTTTATCTCAAAAATATTTAGTTTCCGTTTGTAATCATAACTTAGTGAACAAATTATATTTGTTTCATAATACGTTTTAGTTGCATTTATGATAAATTTATGTAGATAACAAAGGCAGTTGAAATAATCTGTGTAAAATAACTAATTAAAATTCTGAATCAATATTAAAAAGTTACTTTTCGTGAAATTAAATAATCTCATTCAAAAATATTAACTAGTTCTTACAGAAACCAAAAAATAAAAAAAAGGACTTAAAACACAAAGTTGTGGATGAAACTGCAGCTGAGCAAAAGGTTTAGACTTACATTTTATCCCAATAGAATCGTTAACTAAATCTATAGAATAAAATTTGTATAAATGCAATAAGTAATACCTTTAATATAAAAACTTTTTTTTTGATAATTTTTTAATTTGACGATTTTTAATTTAAGAATAACAATGTTCTCTTAATTTTTCAGAAATAAAAATGTTTGAGAAAAAATTGTTGAAAAAAAGATATTGAGTATTTACAACAAGAGAAACAAAAAAAGGAGTCTAAAATTATAAATTGTTTTAGTGATTAATTACATTCGAACATACAATTAAATAAAATTTAGTAATGTGAACACCACGGAAAATATATTTTATTCTACGTATCTTTTTTTCTATGAATTATTATTTCGAGCATTTGGCAACACTGTTCTGAAACTTAAAGTCAATACAGCGAATATGGGTGCGAGCATTGTTGAAATATGGTTTCGAAACTTAGAGTGGTATTTAAAACAGCATTTTTAGATCGCAGTCGGATATTTAAAAAAATTTCGATTCCCCTAGTAAATTTCACAGCATAGATGTAAATATTCTAATTTTGTTTTACATTCAGAGTAGTTTTGATTATATTAATAGTTTTTGATTAATAAAATGCTTAACAATGACATTTGTAACATTTTTTGCTCAAAATGCTCAATAAAAACTAACCAATAATTATTTCATAAAATCCTTTGTGGAATAGAAACACTTGTAGCAAAATATAATAAAAATTAATAGATTTATCGTTTTTGGTATTTAATTAAGAAATTATTAACATAGCTTAAATTTGGTTATATACTTGCGGAACAATTTAAAATTAAGCAAAATGTACCTTTTGTCAGAGAATCTTCTTGATGTTCTACATCTCTTAGGGAAAATGAGTTTATAAAGGTCAATTAAGTAAATAATTTATATTTTATAATTAAAAAGACAATAAATACTGAAAAATTTATGTTGCTTGTAGAAAAGAAATTTTTGACAAGTTAATCTGTACTTTAGAAAGTTAACGCAGTAAAAAAAAAATTTATCATATTTAGATGGAGGACCCACACACTTGCAAATTAACAAACACTCTAAGGATTTCTAATTTTTAGATTTCATCTTAAAACTACGTGACGAAACCAATGAATAACCTTTAATGAACTCAATTATTTCGTAATTAGATTTATTTATTTGGGGATATTAAGTGTAGCAGTGAAGAATAATTTACTAAAACACATCTTCTAATTTTTCCTACTTTTTTTAAAAATATTTAAGGACCCTACAATCCTTGATATGTCAAGGCGTACTAATGTGACCATTAAAAAAATGTGACCATGTGTGTGTTAAAAAGTGACCATTTCTGCTGAACTTTATGTCGCCGTCTCTCCTAAAATTGGTGATGAGATGGTCATCGAGTTTATAGCATTACTCCGATTTAATATTCCTTTTCTTCTCATTGAGGAGCAAAGATTGCAGGACATAATTGTTTTAAGGAACCAGCTAGTTGAAAAAATATAACCTAAGCTTTGAAGAGCAGCAGAGTACTCAAATTAGCGAAAAATATTTTACCCCCAAATAAAACAAACATTAAAATTTTACTTACTTTTTGTTGTCACGGAAAGCAAAGCTTTGTCCAAATTGTTCAGCAAAATATAACTGCTTCCTGCTAAACTGCATTTGCTGCACTATGAAATATCGGAAGTATTTAAGTTGAACATCCTACCTAGACTACCTATAATAAAATTAATGAAAAAGTAAGAAACAGGAGTAAATAAATCTATGATGGATACACAAAACTGTAAAGAAGATATTGCTTTTTAATATTTAGATTAAAAAAATAGTATTATCTCAATCATTACTATGCTTAAAATATTATTTTTTAATATTTTAAGTTAGTTTTATTATTTTTCTTAAATTTTAGTATTTGCGTAACATGGATTTCATCTGGAAAAAAAGGCATTAATCTAAAATATTTTTTGAGGACAGATTTTTTAAAAAAGTTATATGCTTTTTTAATTATGTCACTTAATGTTTTTTTTCAATTTCAGGATTCCCAGGATTGGAAAAGCATATCAAGAATTGAAAATTCAACCATTCCTTTTTCATCCTAAAAATTTTTCAAGTCATATCTGATTTGAAGTCAACAGAAGAAAAGAAGGAAAACATTCTAAAATAAGTGAAAATCACAAACATTTTAATCATATTACAATAACTGAAAAATATTCAAATTATTTTGCTGTTAGGCAAAAATAAATTAGCTTCTGCTTTGTTTGCACATAAGCTTATTTGATAAAAATCAGTTTTAAAATCCAATTTGTTGTTTTCATACGGGTTTCTTTCTTTTATTTCCTGTGGTTAATCTCTGTTTTTATGTTTATCTGCTACTTGTTAATTTCTGTTAAAGCTGATGTTTGCTTCCGCTGCCGGAAGTTTGGGCAGGTATTGAGTTTGACAGTTTTTAATTTGTTAAATTTTAAATTCAGTCAAAGATTAAAGCAAACTTAAAACTGGATTTTAAACTGCTGATCTTAACGCTTGAAATAACTTGATTGAAGAGAAAGAAAATACCCGCAGCATGAAAAATGAAATATTTGTCTCCTTAAAAAATGCTTAAAAATGTCATAGACATATTTTTATTTATTTGCTAAAACATAGAAATTTTTTAGTTTCTCCAGTAATTATTATCGCCTTGCATTTATACTTTTGAAACGTTTTATTTTAAAGATAGGATAAATAAAAATATTTATTTCGATGTGCAATCAAAAACTTACTTATCAAAGACTTAGTGCATTTTACTATTACTGAAAAGGTCTTTGTAAACAGTAGTAGTATAATTTATGTCTATTCAAATAACAATAGAGTAAAAAAAAGCTTTACCAACTATACTGATACTATAACGACTTATTAATTACTTAATATTTCCCGTGAGTTCTACTCTGGTCTCTTATCTTTTTCACATTTACGTGTATTTCTAATATGATTTCTTTTAGGTGTTTTTCAAAAATATGCTTGTTTTAATGTAGTATATGAGGCTTTATTGAGATGAGAATGTTCTTTGGACCAAAATTAAAACTGAGTAAAATTGAGAGTAAATTATAATATTAATCCGGTAACTTCAATTAATTTTGGAGAATTTTTTTGACACAAGGTCTTCAGAACAGATTCTAACACATAATAACGGATAATAAACTTCTAACTGATAATAACAGAGAAGTGAACGCTTTAATGGTTTATGTAGTAAATAAAAATATATCTATTACTTTTTTTTAAACATTTTTTTAAATTGTTTATGAGAACTTATGCTACAAATAGTTCTTTCTGTGCTTTATGAATTTAGTCTAATTAAAAAGAATAGATTTATAAATAAATAAATAATTTACAATAAAACTTATGAAATAAAATTTTGTAAATAAATAATTAGTTTAGTCATATGACTCAGAATTTGATGAGTGATTATGAATAGGATAAATCATATGACGAATTAAATTATTAGGAATCATATGACGTTCTTTCGACGCAGAACAAATAAAAAATTAACAAATATAGTAGAATAATATGGAAATTCAACTAATAGAATTTAAAACTTTAGTAATTTTCAGTTAATATTTAATCTTTAACCTAAAATTGATAAGTTTTTTTAAAAATAATTTTAATGTTTTTACTTAAGAGTCCTGCAATGTTGGTTACATGTGTCACACAATTCAAAAAATTTTGTGAAACTTTTGGATTTCGATTTATATTATCAAAAATATGATAAATAAGTATGTTGTTTAAAACTATTCTGCAGCTCTTAGCTCATAATTAATAATCAAATTTTCCTTACCGTACATTATATTCAATTTTATGTTATTAATTATTTCCATAAAAATATTTGTCATAATAATGAACATTTTTTTTAAAGTTCAAATCCAATTTTATTTTATTGCACAACATAAGACCTTAACGAATTTTAAATGAACAATAAATTAAGTATTACATTTAACAATAAATATTCTTACTTATATTGCCCTACTACTTCAATTTAAACCGTAATCAAAAATATTGCTAAGATTTTTTAAAATAATAATATGAGTTTTTTCATGTATCACAAATGCATCAAAATATTTCAACTTAATTTGAGTCTTTGGTTCAACTTTCTTTGTCAAATGGTGTCCTAATATATTTTATTATTTCTTCTTTAACTATGATATTTTTCAGAAAAAAGGAATTCCTCTCAGCGGGAGCAAGCATTGCATTAAAAAAGGACTTTATTGTTTAAATTGGACTTTCAACGGAATTTGATATTTAGCAGAGTTTTTGTTGTGTTACGAGCAACTATTGTACTCACTACCTATTGTTTGTTGAATAAATTAAGATGTTTCATAGTGAAATGTCATAGTCATATTATCTTGAAAAAGGTTGTTATCCAGTGCCTGATGTAGTCGATATATAAACTCTGTAAATATGTATATATTGTTTTGTATTATGTTATGTATAGGCTACTTAAATATTATTAAAATATTTTATTAAATATCTTAGTTTGTGAATTATTTTTTAAATAAAATATACTCTCACAAAATCCCTAACGGATGCTAATTTTGAAAGAAAAAAATAGATATATTTAAGTATAATATATAAACTAAAAAACAAACTAAAATGTACTCATATAAACTACTGATAAAGCAGTTGTATTCATAATATAAGCCCAGATGATTCAGAGGTTAGGGCACTGATCTATCATCTCACTGATATTATCTCTCTTTATTCTTTAAAGCTTTAAAGCTCTCTTTATTCTTTAAAGCTTTACTTTTATAATTATCATATTCTGCCTCTAAAATCACCTTAATCTACACTGTAAAAAATCTGTTAAATTTACGGAAAAAAAACTGTTAGCTGAAGTAACAGTATAAAACCTTTTATTTTACAGAAAAATACTGTTAACTAAAATACTGTTAACTAAAAACAGTCTTAAAACAGATAAATATAGCTATTTTAGCAAACAAACTCTATTTTAACAAAAAGTTCTGTAAAATAACTATGTGGACGGTACGAGCCGGGAGCAATATTCGTACGACCTGTCGACGCTGGGATTCGAACCCGGGACACTTTATCAGGAGGAGTTCGCTCTGTCCCCTGAGCTACCGTAACTCAAAACAAATAGTATGACGAAAAACTTGAAACTGTTTTTATAGTAGAAGTCTGACTTACTGAAATAATATTTAAATGGAAAAGTCTTTTAAAACTATAGGGGTCCAACCGTATAACAATAACTGGCAACTTAACTTACCCAAAAATTATATCAAAAGAAATATAATAGTCAGGTAGAATGTCCAATTTGACAATAGGTCTTATTTATAGGATGTTCTAAATCACAAAATAATTGCTGAAAAAAAGAGAACAAGTATAGAAAATAATCGTAAAATTGATTTAAAAATAGGGAGAGTTATCGTACGGTAAGCAAAACTGCTTGACAAGAACCAGAATTTGAATTAACGGTTTTAATCCGTTTATGACTAGGGTGAAAAACGAAGAAAATCTTTCTGGCAACAAAATAACTTTAAACTGTTAAATATACGGGTGAAATCTGTAAAAAGATCGGAAATGTTTTTACAGTGTCCGGATAACGGATAAAAACAGAAATAATCTGTTTTTTTCTTCTTCTTTTAACAGTTCTTTTTTATGTGATGATTTACATTTATAGAATTTACAGTTATTAATTGCAATGTACCTTCAAAAGTTTTCCGCAAAGAATGATTAATACCCAGTAAAAACAGGCAACGTTATTAAGGATAAATAGTTATTGTCATCACTCAAATAATTTTGCCGACTTCATAAGCGTTCATTGTTGCTAAACGTAAAAGTAAAATTGTTTAATAGCAAAAACTAATTCATCAACTTGACAACACGGTAAAAATGGTTTATCAGTAAGTGAGTTGCTGTTTCTTAATTGTACTCGCGGCCAACCTTACATTTAACCATTGTTTTTACCACGATATGTAATATTTCGCCCCTATACAATAGTTCACGTCAATATTTTTGTAATCTCAGAAAAGAACGATAACAAATACAGATTCTGTTGTTAAAAATGGGAGAAATTGTGAAAAACTTAATCGAAAATATCATGAAAATCCTTTAGGTTCAGAATGCGAAAAAACTTTAAAAATTAGCTCAAATTGAAAAAAAAGGAAGTCCAACTTGTTCATTTATTGGCATGCGTTACTTCTGAGAATTTTTGCTCTAACCGTTTTTGTTCAGTCGGATAATGACTTTCGTCATTCGAGTGTAGAAATGGCAGATTTGATGACCACTCTCTCTGGGGCATCATATCAGGTAGGCCAACATTGCTTCCACAGTAAGAAGGGCAGATAGTACATAGGAGAGAAGGAAAGAGCATCCATGCCTTATCCAGGATTCGAACCAGTGATCCTTCTGACTTGAGGTCAGCTCCCTGATCACCCATATAGACCGGCTCCTTTTTATGTAATTTTTCATTATTTTGCATGGCCAATCTAGTTTCTTTCTTTTTATTCGGTAACGACACACAATACATTAAAAATAATTTTGCGTTTGAAAAATGCCGAAAACTTCATCATACTCAATTCAAAACTTCAGTTTCATACCTCAATCATCAATATTATTTTTACAAATTTAAATATTTTAAACTTATTTCCTTCTACAAATGTTTGTAATAGACGCAGTTTAGCAAGTGTCTCTTAGAAATTGTTTTTTTTTTAAATCATGATTGGTCCATGTGATTTATATAGTGATAGGATACTTCACTATATGAAACACACGTGCACAAAAAAGCTTTTCATTCTTGTAGTTTAAAATTTTATTACAGGCTTTTTTTTAAAACTTATTTTCCTATTATTGCTCTTCAATATTAAGAAATACTGAATCATTGTGCTACACTTTTGGGATTGTTATGATACGGATAATTAAAAAGCTGATGTTATGACGTGTAAATTTACTTATCATTTATCTGAAAACCTATAAAAATTCAGCTTCTAGCCTACCGGAATAAATATAAATAATGTATCAGTTTAATCAGTTCATATTTGGCTAATATTTAGTGAAAAAAGTAGTATTGTAATTAAGTATATTCAACATAAATTATTTTTACATTTAAAAAGTTGTCAAATCTAGTGATAAAAGCAATTATCTGGTAACCATTGGAAATGATATAAACTGGCTGTCGTAACCTCTGTAGTGATTAAAGACTATATTTGCCGCTAGCATAGTTAAGATACATCTGTCAACAGAATTAAATATATTGTATTGGGTAATAAAAATATACATCTCAGTAAACATTTTAGATAAATGATACAATTCGACAGAAATAATTATAATATACAGTTAAAATGAAACAACAGTAAATTGATATCAAAAGTTAAAAAATTAATAAGTTCCAAATGTTTAAAAAATATGGAAAGGAATTATATCATTAGCAATATAATTTGTGTTTTTAATGATGAAGAAACTTAAATTCAGAAAAGAAACTCATGAAATACATTTATAAATAATCGAACCCATGGACTAGTCGAAAAAAATCGAACCCATGGGCTTCTGAGCAGCAATTTTTTGCTTTAGATGAGCGGTGAAGTTCTTGTTATAGTTTTGATGCTCCATCACGGAGAAAAAAATGCTGGTAGAATTAACGTATTGTACTGTAATAACATTTTTGGTTTAAAAAAAAGAATTTTAGCAAATAAAATAATAATATTCGGTATTTAAACTATTAATTTGGTAATTTTTCTGTTCATATGGTAACGATTTACTCGAAATTCCGATTTTCAAAATTACAGCTCTTTTTACCACACATTTAGTAAAAAATACAAAACTGTAAAGCAAACTTTACCGAATAAATTGCTTTTACGTCAT